GGCGCGGGGAGCGAGAGCAGCGCGGGCGGCCCCGGCAGCGCGGCCCGTTTCACGGGACATGATCCAAATCCGCCGGAATCAGCGTTTTCTCTCACACGCCTCTCAGCGCTTTGCACGGCCACTGGTCACACTCAATCCCCGTTTCGCGGCACAGGCAATAATTACCGGCCTGGCCTGGTTTTGTGGCTGGGCGGTACGATTTGCAAGGCAAGCTCAGTCCCTCTGTGAATATTTTCTCCGGCAACGGCTCCATTTCCTCTGAAACCTTGCAGAGGGGGCAGTTCCAACCTGCATTCACAGACACATGCCTTAAAAACATATACACATGTGTGTGTGTGTGTGTGTGTGCGTGCATGCATATATCTGCACATCTTGGTTTAGTCTGAGTTTTGCACCATACGAAGACTCGGCCTGTTACCCTACCCCGTTTTCTAGGAAATAGGTTCTAATGATTTACTCACAATCAGAGGCGGCTCTGCAGCGGGGACGTGGAGGTGGCCCCAGCCCTGAACCGGGGCTGAGGACGCGCTTAGCAGCTCGCAGCAATTAGCTGCTCATTAGGGCAGCGAGCGCTTCGCACACGGAGCTCGCACCCCGCGCCGCTCCGGCTGCCGAGGGCGCCGGCGATGCTGAAAATGCAGAAATGGCCCTAAATGGAACCCTGCGAGCGGGGCTGCCGCCCGGCCCGCTCGCCCGGCGTGGTGCCGAGCGCTTCCGCGGCTCCCGTCCCGCGCGGGGCCGCACGGATTGAGCCGCAGTCCCTCCGGCCACCGGCAGCTCGGCAGCTGGGAGGGGAAGGTAGAGCCTTCTGCAATCAGTAATGGAAATCCACAGAGGTTAGAAAATGTCCCATCTTCAAAAGCATTTCTCGTGTGTCTGGCATAATCACGGCTTTCACGGGAGCTGATAGACGGGGATGTAGGTGCACATCCAGCCTCGCTTTGGCCTCAACCCACACTCAGAAAATGTGTCTTTGTGCTCAGCCGTAAGCTTTATTAAATATTGACTCGTTCCCTCCTGTTCTTTTCTGCTCCATTATCTCACTTTCATCAGCATTTACACCTGGGGCTCTCCGGGAGCCCAGCAGCGCGCATTGTGCCGGCGTTCCCAGCACTGAACCACGGATGAGCTCCCGCACTGGGAGCATCGCGCCGGAGCGGCACCTCGTGCACCGCTTGCGGGCACGGGACGGAGCGTGGGACGGAGCGTGGGACGGAGAGCGGGACGGAGTACAGGACAGAGCACAGGATGGAGCGTGGGATGAAGCGTGGGATGGAGAGCGGGACGGAGCACAGGACAGAGCACAGGATGGAGCACGGTCACCCGCTCCTTGCTCCGCGGCCGCCCCGTCGCGGGCTCCCTGGGGCTCTTCTGGGCCATGCCAAATCCCTCCCGCCGTCCCACGGGCCGAGCTCAGCACAGGCGCGGGAGCTGCAAACGCCTCATCTCCAACAGATGATGCGCGTCAGCATAGACACTATCATCTGCCAGGGCTTTTGTTTGCCGTTAAAAGGAAGTTTTGCCACTGCAGAGGCCAATTGCCTTCAGAAGATTTTTTGCTATTGTTGTTAATTTATTATAGAAAAGGTCCTCTGTGGTCTTCCAGGCAAGGTTATCTGTTAACGTGCCGCAATCAATAGCCTCTTCCCAAGCGCTCAGCGCTCGCGCCGCCGTCTACGGTTGAACTGCGTCTTTCTTGGGAGCGAGCGCTGCCTTTGCACTGCGGAGCTGATTCCGGCTGCTTGGTAAAGCCCGGCTCTCACCTTCCCACTTCAACAACGCTAAATCAAATCCTCTGCGTTCACACAAAAGCCAGGTCAGCAGTGGGGAGAAATGAGGGCTCATAAAAAGATATTTTTTTCTTCTGTGGATAGATAGACAGACAGACATGGCTTGAATTAATCCTAAGGTGTGTTTTAATGTGCAGATCTTGGTGGCAAGCAGAGGTAGATCCGCGGTGGCTGCATCCCAGGTGAACAGCTCGGATGCCTGGCACGACCTCTGGTACAAGTGTTTATTTATTTTAAATAAGTACACGTAAAAATGAAGGTCTTGTCCATTCACTCTTATCTCAGACTAACTTCCCTGGTTTGAGGCAGCTCTATGACTTTGTAACTCCGCACCACTACCATGCTCCTCTTCACGTTGCAAACATCGCAGTTACCGACCACAACAAAATGTCCAAAAATCATGCAGTTCCCCTATAAGAACTCCTTTTCCTCTGTGCATGCCACACACATATGAAGCACATTGATGTAAAGCAGTGGCTGTATTATGGCTAGTTTCTCTAAAGACTCTGCAAACTCGGTTTGGACACGAGTTACAGCAGCAGTCGGAGCTGCAGTGGCCGAAGCGCAGCCGCAGCGCGAGCCGAAGGGGCCGTTCATCCTGCATTAGCCTCAGCTCCCGCGGATACCCCGGGATAGCCCGGAGAGCGGCGGCTCCCGCTTCCTGAGCACCGTCCTGCATCCAGAGGCTCTTACAGACGCTGTGGGGCTTTGCCCCGGGCTCAGGAGCTGCAGCTCTGCAGGGCCCCCCGGCGTGTGAGTCACTGACTTCTGGGGGTCTCTGCACCGCAGGGAGTTTGCTCTGGTCCTAGGTAACAAATAATATACCTATACAGAAAAAAAGGCAAAATGAAGCCAACGGACCCAGCCTCAAAGCACCCAGTGGTGGATCTACAACCCCAGCACTGCAGGACTGTCAGTGCCTTTGCTGCAGGGAAGCCGGGGTGCCCGGAGACACCCGGGAAGGCCATGCACCCGGAGCAGCCCGTGGCAGAGCGCAGAGCCGCGGGAGGAGCAGGGCCAGCCCTTGGCGCCTGCAAATGAAGAGCCTGTCCGGCGGTTCCGTCCGCGCCAGCGCGGCTGGTCGGCAGCCAGAGGCCAGCACTGCGTGGAACGGAACAGCCAGAGCTCCTCTGGCAGTGCTGCTGCCGGCTTTGCCATCTGCAGCCTCGCGTGCGGCCCCCTCGCACCCAGCCACGAGCTCCCTCCTCATTCTCCTTCTCCTCCTCCTCTTCCTCCCCACGTGGTGCTGCAGCACGGGCCGCTGTGACCGCCCCATCCACTGCCGCAAAAAGGAGGTCTCTGGGTCAGAAACCCTGTCCCGCGGCCCTGCACCCTGGCCCTCGACCGCTGCCCGTGGCAGGAGAACGCTCCCTTATCTGGCAGCCCTGTTGTCAGCATTAATGAGCTAATTAATCTTTCAAAGACGTTTGATCGTCCTCGATAAAAGATGTCAAGGAAAGTATCTATTACTGTTTCCTTAATTATTAATAATAACATTGTTGTTAACTCCTAGGGACTGCCCATGGTGTTAAGGCTTATTTTGCAAAGGCAACCAGAAGCATTTGCAGGCTGTAACTAAGCAGCCTTTCCATCTATCCCCTGGATAACATTCCTATCAGTGCCGCGCTCCAAGTCCCGCAGCCTGGCACGAGCAGAGTGCAGATTTGCACATTTAATGTCAGTCACGATCCCGGGTCAAATTCTGCACAGATTTACACTCCGTGGGCAATGTAACCACTTGAGATGCGCGTTAGGATATAACGTGTCACTTGCTATCCCATTAGAGAACGTATCATTAAGTCTCTTGTAATTAGAACAAGCACATTTAATTAGCAGCGGCTGTGGAGAATGTGTGCAGAAACGCTTACTTTCCTCTGGTTCAGCTCTGGCGGGAGATGATGCGTATTGCAGCATGGGACTTGCTGTACGTCCCTTCTGCAGCAGCTTTTTAAGCTCAGCCTCTAGCAAAATCATTATCATAGATAAGATAAATTAAAAAATGCTCATTATCTAAGCAATAATGCTGATTTTATTGTTTTGTTTTCGGCTTAATCCCCACGCGGATAGCTACGCTCTCCCACCAGGCGAAGCCCAAAACGCCCCATGGTACCAGTAGCTATTTATTGATCTGACCAGTAGCTATTTATTGATCTGGCAAAATCCCCCTGCTGAGTGTGCCGGTAGGAACGGGGACAGAACCCCACTTCTAAGGAATGTCCATAGCAACTTCTGAAGCAAGGAGTCCGACACTGCAGTTGTTTCCTATCGACTACTAGGCAAGGCGCTAGCAAGAGCCGCTGGGTTTCTGGGATTGACTGAATTTCCCCAGCAGCGGCAGGAAAATGCAGAACCGCACAGTGAATCACTGCGGGTGGTTAGTGGTGCTCGGAAACTCCTACGTAATTCTGCGAGCGGCCGTGTTGGGCACCGGGGGTGTTCTGTGCCCACCTCGAGGGAGGCAGAATGGAGACACAAACAGCAGCCAGAGTTTGGTCATGCCAGTGGAAACTAAGTAAAAAAGGCTTTTCTGTGGAAGGATCATTGGACACACATAAGGAAGCGTGGGGAGGCAGGTGGGGCGCAGAGAACCAGGTGCTGCGCTGGGGAACGGGACACATGAGCGGCTAACGCAGCGGTCACCACAGGGTCCGGTCGCACCCTCTCCTCCCGGCCTGAGGAAGAGACCGGGGGCGACCTCGGCAGAGCTCCTGGGGCTACCAGGCTAGGGAATGGAGCCTGACCCTCCGAATCACGGAGTTTGCGGGGATTCGTTTAAAACAGCCACAAAAGCCCCTCGCGGGAGCGCGGGACAGGCGGGGGACGAGGCCGCTGCGCAGGGGGCGGCCAAGATGGAGGCCGAGGGGCGCGCGCGGCCTCGCGCCGCCGCTTCCTTCCTTCCCTTCGCGGGCGGCCCCTTCCCCCGGCGGGCGGGCGGGCGGCCCCTTGCCGCGGGCCGG